TGTAAGCCCTTCAAGGCAGACATTATTGAATTGAATAAAACCTTTCGTGGGTTTATCTCTTATTTGTGAGGTTGTTCATCTTTCCTATAATCTTCCGCTACGTCAATTTTTTAGCAACCAACCTTAAGTTGGTCGTTGAAATTCAAGGCAGGGATAAATCTCTCTTACTCTTTTGCGTCGTTTTTGGATGTTTCAGCGACCATGGAAGTTTGGTCACTTTTCCACCAGTGACCATTGCGTGGCCGTTATAATTGTTCTTTAGCAACCAATCTTTTTGTCACTGAATTGCATTGCAGGGATAACTCCCATGTTTCTTTTTTGGCATCGTTTCGGATGTTTCAGTGACCAAGGAAATTGGTCGATATAGGAGGCCCAACCATCAAACATTGTACGTTCGATGTAAGTATTTTTCAGCAGCCAACCTTTAGCTGGTCGCTGAAACACATGATAGGGTAAATCCTACGTATTTTTTGGTGTGGTTTTGGGTTATTCAACGATCAGAAGAATTTGGTCTCTAAATATGAGGCATCGCCAGTGACCATAGTATGGTTGTAGTATTTTAGCAACTATTAAGAAAATAAAAAGGGATAGATCCAATATGAAAACATATTGAAGGAACTTGATGAAGAAATATGTAGAACACTTATTATTCATCAAATACTCAAATGTAAAGGTGAATACAGTGGGCTATTTATAGCCTAAAATCTAACAAACTATATAACAGAAGAAGGAACTAGAAGAAGCTAGAATCTAGGAGGCTGCTGAACGTGTGAGCTACTGAACATGCTGGGAACTTGAGCCGAGGACATGGCATGCTAAACATGAGCTACTTGAGCTGGAGCCAATCATGCACATATTCTAACACCCCCCTCAAGATGGACCATCTTGAACTGTAGAGAGAAGAGTAGAGATGTAGGCAATTGGTGGAAGATATCTATAGATCCATAACCTGACAAGGCATTGCAGTAACTTCAGAAAGCTTCCTGCAACCAGAACGTAGCTGTGGATGGGGTACATTTGCATTCTCTAGAACCTTGAACAACTCATGATGAAGCAGAGAAGGAATTGAAAAAAAAAACTGACGAAGATGAATCCAAACAATATTGAAGTCTACTATTATAATTGCAGAAATTCGAACTAGATAAAAACATCATCAATGGCGGAATAACACATCGATGGAGATGACTGAGGACATCCTTCGTTGCAGGAATCGAAATCGGAGGCTCAGAGATTAAAAACTCAGGAGCAGCTGGAATGGACATCAGCTGTTGAAACTGAGTGAAAATCAGATGCTGAACGTAGTTCCCCCAATGGTAGACATTCCGGTAGCAGATCTGAAGTCAGAGTTATCTTCAGATCTCCATTCGAGAGTCTTCTCAACGTGAATCCTTACACTCCTTTTTATCATGGTGTTCTTACCCATAAGCACTACAGAATCTACCATTAAACCCTTCCCGATGTTCTGCAGCTGGTTTGATTCCAACACTGAGATTAGAAAGCTTCATTCCAGATTCGATTATTGAAGAAGAAGAAAATAACAGAAAAGAAAATGTAGACGGAAGGAGCATATTGCTCTGATACCATATTAAGAAAATAAAAAGGGATAGATCCAATATGTAAACATATTGAAGGAACTTGATGAAGGAATATGTAAAACACTTATTATTCATCAAATGCTTAAATGTAAAGGTGAATACATCGGGCTATTTATAGCCTAAAATCTAACAAACTATATAACAGAAGAAGGAACTAGAAGAAGCTAGAATCTAGAAGGCTGTTGAACGTGTGAGCTGCTGAACATGCTGGGAACGTGAAATACAATGTGCTCTATTTATAGACTAAAAAACTAACTAACAAACAAACTATCTAACTACATAGAAGTCTCTAGAATGAAGTTGAGTTGGATATTCTAACACACTCCCCTCAAGATGGACTATGGATATCAACAATACTCCATCTTGAAGATTAAAGTGTGGATTGTAGAATAGAATCGGGAAAAATTCCATCTTCTAGCATGTGTTAGTACAATGACATAGCATCCACAAGCCTTCCAACTTTGCAGTAACCACGAATAAGAATTGTATATGCTACTATATCCGGCATTAGTCCCATGTGTAGAGCAATATGAAAGACAAAATATGCTTCCTCCATCAACCCTCTTTTGCAGGGACCATCAATCAAAGAACTGTACGTGACCACATTAGAAATAAGTTGTTGTTGAGAGGTGAGCCAACCACTAATTCTAGAACAAGGCTGAATCTGAAGCCATAGTCATCTTCTAATTTGGCATGAATTACAAACCATGAATTAACATCCGTAAAGGAGAAGAACATAGAAAATGGAATCGGAATAAATTCCATGAAAACATCTCCAGTACAAAGCTAGAGAGAATAGAAGAAACATCTCTAGTAATTGATCTGCTCCAGGAGATAGGAAAATGAACCAGATCCATCATCAATGGCGGAATAACACATTGATGAGGAAGAATTGAACAAATCATAGCTGGTGCAATAGTCGAAACTTTATCTCCAGAGACTTGCTTGAAGCGCAAGGCATAGCTGATGCCTTGAAAGTAGGTTCTGATCCATCACAGTATTCTGTTAATTTTGACCTTGACTTTATCTTTCTTTTATAAATGCATGGATTCTGGTAAAAAGAAAATTATATCTGATGAAATTTGAGCACTAAAGAAGAAAAAGTTCATTAAAATCTAAAAAAATATGTGGAAATTAGTTAATCGATCAGCTTCAAGTGAATATGAAGAGTAGCCGGAAGACGATTTATTGGATGATATGGTATCAGGATCGCCAATGCTATTGACCTAGCTGATAGATTTCTTCCTAAACTGCAGTCCTTGAATTGCAAACCTATGGTCATAACTTTTCGTGCCTACTCTAAGGATCAGATCATCACAATTCTTAAGCAGAGACAAATGGGACTTCCTTACACTATTTTCCAGCCACAAGCACTGGAGCTCTGATACCATATTAAGAAAGTAAAAAGGGATAGATCCAATATGATAACATATTGAAGGAACTTGATGAAGGAATATTTAGAATACTTATTATTCATCAAATGCTCAAATATAAAGGTGAATACAGTGGGCTATTTATAGCCTAAAATCTAACAAACTATATAACAGAAGAAGGAACTAGAAGAAGCTAGAATCTAGAAGGCTGCTGAACGTGTGAGCTGCTGAACATGCTGGGAACGTGAACTGAGATCATGGTATGCTAAACATGAGCTGCTTGAGTTGGAGCCAATCATGCACATATTCTAACAGCAACCAACAAAGCACTTAACGGGGTAAATCCCTTTCATTTTTTCCCATGATTTTCGATTTTCCAACTACTAGGAAAATTTGGTCAATGTAAGTATATTTTAGCAACCAAACTTAAGTTGATCATTGAAATACATGACTGGGTAAATCTCACGTATTTTTTTTGCTTGGTTTTAGATTTATTGGCGACCAATGGAATTGGTTGCTGTATAGGAGGCACCACCAACTACCATAGTATGGTTGTTGTACTTATTTTTTTAGCAACCACCGAAGCACATGACACGGTAAATCTCGCGTATTTTTTTTAGTGGTTTTGAGTTTTTCAACGACCAGAGAAATTTCGTCACTAAATAGGAAGTCCCACTAGCGACCATCATGTGGTCCTTGTGAGTATTTTTCAACAACCAATATTCAATTGGTCGTTGAAATGAATAGCATGGTAAATCTCGTGTATTTTGTCGTGTGTTTTTGGATTTATTGGTGATTGATGGAATTTGGTTGCTAAATAGGAGGCACCACCAATGAGCACAGCATGATTGCTGTAAGATTTTTCAGCCACACTGAAACACTTGGTAGGGTAAATTCTGCGTATTTTTTCTCGTGGTTTTGGATTTCTCAGCGACTAGGGGAATTTTAGGTCACCAAATAGGAGGCACCACCAACAAACATTGTGTGGTCGCTATACTGATGTTTCAGAAACCAAGCTTCGTTTGATCACCAAAACACTTGTCTTTAATGATAAGGCTTTCTAGTGAAATTTTTTTATTTTGGTGAATTTTTTTCAAAGTTTAATGAGCGATCAAAACTTGGTTCCTGATTGTATGCTTTAGCAATCAACTTTGACTTGGTTGCTGAAACATTTTCCATAGAGTTTTAAATGAGTTAATACCTATCAATCCAAAAAAAGTTGTTTGACCTATTATAAACAATTATAAATGATAGCCAAGCAAAGGTAATTGTTTTCAAATCTCATACAAAAAGTTTCAACTTTATTTTTCACGATATGAGACAACAGGTGGCATGGGTCGATTTTGGGCCCAATCAGATGATTTGGGTTAGATGCAATCCAAATTGAGCCACAAAAATTCGAAAGAAACTGATGAGACCATTTTTCTAAGGAAATATTAGGCCTAGTACCCTTTTTTATGTGGCAATTACATAAAATCAGACATTAAGTTTGACCTTTTTAAAAATTAGGTTTTGATTTTATTTAATCAAAAATCAGGTTTTAATTTTACAATTAATATTAATAATAATATTTTAAATTAAATTAATCTATATACACATCCTACTATCTACCCCCACCAAATTTATTTTAACTATAAAATCCTATCCATCAAATTTATTTTAACTATAAAATCCTAATCCATTTCATTTCATTTCTCTCCCCTCTCTCACCCGGTGCCTCCACCACCACCGCCAGCCGCTGTTCCTCCCTCCCTCCCTTCTCCCTCCCCTCTTCTCTCTCTCCCTCCCATCCCTCCCGTCTCCACCCTGTCACAGCAGTCGCGACGCTGTTGCGGGGTCGCAACAGCGTCAGACCCCGCAACAGCGTCGCGACTGCAGTGACGGTAGTGTCGCTTCTATGTCACGTCAGCATCGACGCTGCTACCAGTGGGTTGGGTGGGTGGACCAAACAGCAGCGCCTTGACATTTTCCTCGCAGCGGGGGATTTGTGGATGTGGGGACGACAACGTCCGATCTGTTGCAAGTGGAGGTGACGACCGCCACCGCGAGAAAATCTCTCAGATTGCTATAGCGTGTGTCGGGTTTTGATGTGCTGGTGGTTGCGGTGGCGGTCCGTGTGGTGGCACTGTGGTGTGGTAGATTTTTGTTATTGTTGTGGTGACGGTTGTGTGGTGTTGTGGCGGAGTCGACGACGGCGATGGTGTTTTCTTGGTGTGGTGGTGCGGGCGGCGATGTGATGGTTGTTTTTTGTTATTATTATGGCAGTAGTTGTGGTGGTGTTGTGACGGGGTGACGATGGTGGTGTTGTTCAGGCGGCGACGGTGGTGTTATTGTTGGTGGGTGATTTAGGGATTGGGGTCGGCGGCGAATGGGACAAAGTGTCTGTGACCAACTATTTGGTCGTCTGTGACCTATGACCAAGTATTGGTGGTGTTTTGGGATTGTGAGACAAGTGTTTGGGTGTATGTGACCAACTATATCGATCTGTGACCAATTATATAGTTCTATGTGGTTAACTATTTAACTGTGACATTAAAATTTGTTAATCTGTGACTTAAAATATAATCTGTGACCAACAAATTTTCTTAATTTGTGATCAATTAAAAATTTGTGACCTATAAATTTTTTCAATCGTGACCTTAAAATAATCTATGACCAATTAATTTGATAAGTTGGTGGAGGTGGAGGTGGAGGTGGAGGTGGAGGTGGGGTGGAGTGGGTCGATGGGGTGGGTTAATTATGTAAATATTATATTACAGTTAAATATTTAATTTAATAGATTAATTGTAAAATATAATTAATTAATTCATGGAAAAATCCGAGTTTTGTAAATTTAAACATTGGGGCCTGATTTTTGATTTCGTGAAAGATAATCCCTGACCTATGAATTTTTCCCTTTTTTTTATAGGTGTTGATTAAAACCCTTAAAATCTAATTAAACATTTTAATGAAGTATTA